CCTATGGATAACTCATGTTCGTGAGCACAGTCCTGGTCCTCCGCTCGGCGCCTCAACAAGGCGCTCAGCTTAGCGCTAGCGCTACGATTCATGTCTGCTTCTTGCGGGGCTTCTCGTCCTTCAAGTCGCTGACCTGCTCCTGAAGGTTCTGTACCGTCGCCATAAGCTGCTTCATCACTTGCTGTTGCTCCATGAGTAGTTGAGCAACTGCTGGATCCTGACTCCCGGACGCCGTAGAGGATGGAGTCGGGGGAGCCACAGCCGCAGGCTCTGGAATCGGCTCGTCCAAGTGGTAGCCCTTCTTCTTGATCTCGGGCTCGGTCGGCGTCATCTTCACATCTGTGGCCTGGTTGATCCAGGCCGCGAGTCGCATCAAGCGAGGGTCCGGGTCGTCCGCCTCGAGAGCCGTTTGCTGAACCCAATTGGCGTAGGTCGGGTAGTTGTTCAGGAGCTCGCCGTAGGTGATCTGGCTGTGACGCCCAAACCCCACAACATCCTGACTGGTGGCCGCAACCTGCTTGTAGATCGCCTGCACCCCTCGCGTCATCATCTGGTCCACGGTCTCGTTGGGACCCACACTGAGGCCCAAGTTGTTCTGGAGGTGTGCGGTCAAATCGGCCTTCTTCTTGCGTGCCTTGTTGAGCTCGGTGATCTGGCTCTTGAGCGATCCCTTGGACTGCAGCTTGAGAGTAGCCTTGTCCTCGCCCTGCATCTTCATGAGCTCTTCCAGGCGGCAAACCAACTCCGGCTTGTTCCACCTCGTTGGTGGATTTTCCCCGTACTCTTGGATGCGCTTGATCAGGTCCGCCTTGGTCATCTTGGACGTCGCCATGTGGTACGAGATCACCAGGAAGGTGAGAGGCTGCAAGAGAGCTGTGCTTGTAGCTGGAGAAAGGCTGCTGGGCATGCTGAGCTGAGGCTTCACCGCACGAGACATTCTCCGGAGATGTAAATTCGCAAACCCCAGTAGCATCCCTAAACTCATCCCTATCTTTCCCCTGGGTTGTGTGTCGGGACCTACTATCTACATTCCCATTCCCTGTGCTACACATGACCTCTTCATTTCCATCAGGGCCTGGAGCGAAGAGGAGTTGTCCCTAGGACTCATTCGAGTCCTTGATAAAAGACTTCAAGCTTGGCACTGCTTGATTGGCGTCTTTTGCGCCATGCAAAAGGTCCTGCGACAACGGAATCAACTGATGACCTGTGGCCGAACGCTGGAGCTGGACAATGCGGTTCGCGTCGACACAGACAGCAGGATCGGGCCGTCACCCTGGGAGATCGTGTGAATGTTGAGGGTGCCGGCCTTTCCCCCGGCCGTGATGGCAACCTGCGCTGTCGACAGGCACTGATTAGCACTGCTGTTCCCGAAAGAGAACACTGGTCGATTGTTGCGGTCAACGTGGCGAATCCCATCATGGCCCTTGCTTTCCTGGTTCACTCTCATCAGGGATTCCACGGCTTGCACCGATGCCACCGTCTTGGTTGCTCCACCATCCACCACGGCCATGCCGGATCGCACGGCGTCCTCCGTGGTGGGAGCCGTTGTCATCATCGCCGCTTCGACCTCCTTGTTCTCCTCCGCATAGCAGACGAAAGGAGCGTGTTCCTCTGGCTTGCGCTGCCCGGTAGGAGGATCGGGGCAGTCTGCCACTCGATGGCCCGTGCGGCCACATCGCAGGCAGGTCATCCGGGAGTCATCCCGGACCTTTCCGGAATTCTTGCCTTTTCCTTTCCCACCTGGCTTCCCATAATACTGGCGCGACATCTTCACGAACTTTTGCTTCTCCCGAGCTTCCCGCAAGGTCTTGCGAGCACCCTGGAGGATGGCCAGTGCCTCCTGCTCCTCATGAGCTGCTTCCTGCATGGCCCACAAGCCGTCTTCGTTCATGCCCTCGGCCACCAAGGCGTCCTCGTCGTAGCCGAAGGTTGCTTCCTCATTCTCATCGTCATCCTCCTGGAGCTCTCCCCAATATCCACTGTTCTTGTTCACGTGGTCTCGTCGTCTCAAGTCTTGCTCTGACCACTGTGTTCGCAACTCCTGTGCGATGCGCTGGAGCGAATAATCGCCCCTCACCGCCGTAGTGATGAGGTTGCGCTGCTCAGCATCCAGTCCTGAATCCTGAAGCAACAACCAACCTTGGATATAATCTGGCAAAAGCTCCTCGAGGGTCTCATTCTCGCCTTGGGACGCGGCAAAATGCCACGTAGACGGCGTCCACCAACTATGGGAGCCAGACCAGCCCCAACCAGTCTGCCACCCTTGGTAGCGCTCGTCCTGAGAGGACCTCCATGTCCACTCTCGTTGTGTCTGCTCGCCTCCTTCCTGAGGCGTGGCTGCGGATTCCTCCGTCTCGCTGACGGGAGCTGCTGCCTGGGACGAGGCCTCGGAGTCCCAGCTGTTCCTTCTGCCGGTGTTCCAGGATGGTGTTCCTTTCCACTGCTGCAGGAGTCGCGGCTCCGGCTTCTCCTGGTGGAGAGGAGTACACGATGATATGCTTGCCTGGCCCTCAGATAAATCTCACACTTGCGAGTCACGTAGTCGCCAATGCTTTCGCCAGGACGTCGTTTGCTCTGGCGAAAATACTTCTGCAGATAATCTGAGAGCTCACTCAGTTGTGGTCGCCCGAGGCAGGCACGCAGGTGTTCTAGTAAGGTCTGAGTCCCGGCTGGATGTGCCAGCCACTCAGGGGACTTCCCAAGAATCAACCTCTTTGCTGCCCCTTGCAGTTCCGTGGCCAATCGCGGCCCATTCATATAGCGCTTGTGCCACGGCGTCGTGGCCTCCCACAACTGGCACATCTCGTAGTACTCCTGAAATCCAGTCGGATTTCCATCCCACTGAGGAACGCCATCTTGGCCCTGGATCTCAGAACCACCGGTGCCCTGCCGGTGGCTCCGCTACCATGCAAGCGGTGCTTGCACGGAAGTGGATTGCCCAAGCTGGAACGCCGCACAGCGATAAATGACGAGTCACAAAGGGGTCTACCGAAGGGACCTGCAGGGCTCGCGCTCTTGTATCCTTTTTGTGCCAAACGTTGCTGCGATTGTCAA